GAATGTGCTTGACCTCATCAGTCATGAATGAAACCACAAAAACACAAACTTCAGAAGACTGAAGCAAAAAGAATGACTAATATCACAGAAGTTAAGTACCAAAGATATGGTGCATAGTTCCAATCGTATTAAGTTTAAAAACAGGTAAAATGAATCTGCTATTAGAAATTAGAATAGAACTGCTTCTGTGGAAAAGGCAAGCAAGCATATGAGAAGGAGTTGGAGGGAATGCACGAAAGGAAACTTGTAGATTACTGGTGATATGGTTTCTTGACTTGGTTGGGCAAGTTCTCTTTCTGATGAGTCACTCAACTATTTGCACTTAGAATTTGTATACTGTTCTGTAGGTAGGCCATACTTAATGATAAGTATTTTTAAATGGATATTGCCATGTAAAACTGATGTCCATTTAAATGGGAAATGTAAACAAACCTCTGAGGTAACAACTGTCATTATTACTACTTTATAAACAAGGGGAAACCTAGCCACAGCACAAGTTAAGTATAACATGGCTAAGATCCCATACAAATAGTGCTAAAGACAGGCTTAAATCACAGCAGTCTGACTCCAGTCAGACTATCCTTAGCTTAGTCTTTGGTGCTTAGAAGCACCTTTCTTTGGGCCTTGCTTTCTTCGCTTAATATAATTTTATCCAGGTCTTTCCATTTCCTTATGAATAGGGCAATGTTATTCTTTCTGATGGAAGCATAGAATTCCACTAAGTATATATACCACATCTTGATCCATTCATCTACTGAAGGGCATCTGGGTTGGTTCCATATCTCAGCTATGGTAAATAATACTGCAATGAACATGGTTGTGCTGGTAGCTCTAGTATGGCCTTGTTTGTGGTCATTTGGCTAAATGCTCAGGAGTGGAATTGATGGATCATAGAGGTGCTCTATGTTTAATCTTTTGAGGAAACTCCATACTGTTTTCCAGAGTGGTTGAACCAGTTTATACTGCAACCAACAGTGTAGTAGCATTCCCTTTGGGCCACATCCCTGCCAGCATCTGTTGTTATTAGATTTTTTTGGAACTAGAATATGTATATGACATTCTTAGCAGATGATCACAATAGCCATAGTGAAGCAAATCAAAATAAACTCCAAGAACTCGAAATAAGAGATTCTTATTATGTCCCGCATGCAGTTATTTCTATTTTTTCTTTCTGTTTTAGTTTTCTTTACCCTTTGTCTTGTATATAAGCTTATCTGATCCATGGAAGGGAAAGGGAGTCACAGAAACAACAGGACAAAGGATAAACTAATGCAATAATGACACTCACTAGACACTACATTGGAAATGGCCTTTACAAGTTGGGGGAAGGAGAGTGGTTGGTAAGCAGGAGAAAATGAGGAAGGGGATAACAGCGTTTAAAAAGAAAAGTACTCATTATCTTACTCATGTAACTGTAATCCCCATTCATTACCCTTACAGTAATTTTTTTTTAATTAAAAAAAGAAAGCACTGGCTGTGAAGGTAGCTCAGTGGTAGAGTGCTTGCCTTGCATGCATGAGGCCCTGGGTTCGATTCCTCAACACCACATAAGCAGAAAAAAAAGGCCGAAGTGGTGCTGTGGCTCAAGTGGTAGAGCGCTAGCCTTGAGCTGAAAAGCTGAGGGACAGCATCCAGGCCCAGAGTTCAAGCCCCAGGACCAACAAAAAAAACAAAAGAAGAAGAAGAAAGCACCTTTCTTTATAGATATTTAAAAGCCTTTGCAAACAAGACTCTAAGTTGAAAGAAAATCAAGCAAAGGGCCTTTACTAATGCCAATCATTGATTACTGCTTCCCAAATCTGATCTAGGGAAAGCAATAGGTTTGTTTCCTTGGCTAGCCAAGTGTCCTCTGCTTTTATATTTACATAAAATGTTCTACAGAGTCCAGGAGTTGTTATATTCATCTCCTAAAATGTTCTTAAGCTCATTATTAAAAACACAAACTAAATATAATTGACAAAAATGGCAACCCAGGTACAATATTCTAAGAAGTGTTTCTCTTTAAATGTGTTCAAATTCTTAACAGACTATAATAAAACCTTACTTTTATTTCTTACTTTACATCATTTTCTACTTCCTATTATTTTAACAACAGTGCTTAGCACTCTGTAAATCACAATGAAGAAGAGCATATTTCTTCTAGCACCAGCAGAACAAATTCTTATTACCTTTCTCTCATCTCAAGCCCAGCTGGAAAATAAGAGAATAATAAAATATTTAATGATGTACTTCATGTGAATCCAGTTTAGTAAGTGCTATCTTGAAAAGACTTGTTTTAGAAAATATGGTAGAGGAATTCTGTTTCATATATTCTCAACAAATATGAAACACATTAGTTATAAAGATACATGTGAGTTCCTGGTGAAAACCAGCATTTGAGCTTTATAGGCAAGCTAAAGAAAGATAAGTTTCATCACTATTCTGAAATTATGACTGGAAATATATGTCAATTTGGAAGATTTTTCTTGAACAATGCTAGGTACACTACTTAATCAATATTAATTATATTATGTACATGACAAACAAGCAATAGTTAGTATCAACTGATGTGATTTAACTTTAACACCAACAGACCTTTTGTACATCTGAGTATCAGTGTATTCAACTGACTAATTATATCTAACAAGAAAATCAATGCCTTTGAAATAATTAGATTTGGGCTCTTGGGAACCTCAGGGCAGGTAGACAAGGCTTTCTTTACTTAAAATAATTAGATAGAACTATAACCAATCTCCTTGAAAAATCAACTCATCTGTACTGTTTTTTAAACTCTGTTCTCTGAATTGTGTGAAACAATGCCAGGACTGAAAATACCCTTACATTTCCATGCTTTTCAACTGCCTTTATAATTTCACGATTTGGAAAATGTACTGTGAGATGAGCTATGCATTCATTTTCCTGATATAGCATGAGAAAAAGAAAATAACTCCCACATACCTTTATCTACCCAAGATGACAGCCAATGAAAAAAGTTTAAGTCCTCCAAGCACTTGAAAATATTTCATAAGGAAAAGTCAAAAATTTTTGAAGAACATGTTTGACCAACAACAACAAAATACAGACCTGTAAAATTTTTTCATCCCTCTTCATCTATACTTTTACAAAATCAAAATTCAAAATCAGTCAGTAAGGAATGACAGTTCTCAAGAAAACCTCTGTGCTTCCCTTGTTGAGATTTAATCTATGGATGGATTATTCTATTATTAGCACCAAATGAATTTCAACAGATGCTAAAAATTCAGAATTCTATTACAGTCATTTGTCCTCTGAATACTTTGTGACTCAACAGACAGAAGAACTATGTGTGATGTTTGTTGTACTTACAGGCTTCAATTGATTTGGAAATCTCTGGAAAAAGAAAAATTATTCCTGCACATAGAAGTATGGAAGAAGAAGGACAAATGAAATAAACAGTGTGAGAGTCATTGATAATGCTATCACCAATGTTACTAACCAATGAAACATGCTTATGTAAGCAGAAAACACTCTCTTCTGGCAAATCCTAACTTCATGGCTAGGTGACTCTGGTCTTTAATAACTTTTTTACTCTTGAATAACACTGGACGTAGAAGACAAACAGCTAAGAATACCATTTATTTTGTAACTAAGAAGGAAAGAGGTAGTTAGCAACAATCATTTTGACAGCAAACCTAAGTAATGAAAAGGACATTTTTATTACTAATATAGAACAAAATTCAAAGCATATGAACCAACAGTCTACATTCAATAAACTTACTAATGGGAAACTTCTGTATTAACTAGATAACACGTCCTTGTTTTCATTCATGATTTTCTGAGTAACAGGTTCAGATTTCCCATCTCTTCATCTACTTGGGTAACTAACAAAATTCAGTAGACAAACTGGTAACATTAAAAAAATGACTCTATAATAAATGTTAATATCTAATGGTTGTGGCATATACCTACTACACAACCTGTTAAGAATTAAATGTGAACATGTATATTACACATTTAAGAAACTGTAGTCTATGTAACGAACATCCAAGTAAATGTTCTTGTCACTAACAACTAAACAATATTGTAACTAACAAAGCAAATTGCTATTTAAATTGGTTATGGAGCTAATTGATAAAATAATAAATTGAATGCCTAGAATGTACATAGCACAGTTACTGTAGTTATATTCTACTTAAGATGAAACCATAAGACTATAAATATTTGCTATCTTTGTACATATGTTACAAATTGTCATAGTCAAATAGGAATAAATAAATAGCATTCAGAAGCAAGTGAGGGTGGGAATGTGGCCTAGGGATAGAATGCTTGCCTTGCATATATGAAGCCCTGGGTTCGGTTCCTCAGTACCACATAAACAGAAAAAGCCAGTAATGGCGCTGTGGCTCAAGCCTTGAGCAAAAGAAGCTCAAAAAAAGAAGCCCCCAGGACTGGCAAAAGAAAAAAAAAAGGGAAGAGGAGGAGAAGGAGAAGAAGATGAAAAAAGAAAGAAGAAGGACAAAGAAAGAAGGAAGAGGAGGAGAAGGAGGAGGAGGAGGAGGAGGAGGAGGAGGAGGAGGAGGAGGAGGAGGAGGAGGAGGCAGCGGCGGCGGCAGAAGCTGCTGTATAGTCATGAATTATCCTACAATGCTATTATTTTCTGATATCATGGTAGAACTTTCAGGATTTTCATGGAAGAAATAGGAGGCTGAGTTCTCTTGAAGTCATATGAGCACTGGACTAATTGTTTAGTGTCAATTACCCAAAAAATGTTTAGTGACCACCACTGTTTCAATATTTGAAACATTAATCTTTTATTTCCTTTTACTTCTTAAGGCTTTAACAGCACAGCTTCTGAAATGAGATCCTGGGGATGCTTACAGGCCTTTGTCCCAAGAAGAGAGTTAAATCATTAATTTACAATTAACATGTAACAGAATTTTTCCCTGACGCTAGAAAGCTCATGCATTGGAATTTTCATTCTTAGCAGCTTTTAGTGGTAAGAAATAAAAACATTATGATCTCCCCACTAAGAAATCAGTTACCTTAGGATCAGATGTGAGCAGCTTGAATGCATGATATACTTGAGCTTCTTTTACACCACCTCCAAGGTCCAAGAAGTTGGCTGGCTTCCCACCATTGAGGAAAATGATGTCACAAGTTGCCATGGCCAGTCCTGCCCCATTTACTGTGAAATGCAAATAGAATATGAGAAAGGGTATGTTGAAGAACTCTATGCGGTCCAAATATTTTTCCTCTCCCCGTGCTGCCCTCATATTATCATTCCAAATCAATTGGTTCCCTTTTAAGAATTGTTTGACCATATGAATTCATATACTTTTTTTTTTGGCGGGTCGTGGGGCTTGAACTCTTGGCTTGGGTGCTATCCCTGCGCTCTTCAGCTCAAGGTGAGCGCTCTACCGCTTGAGTCACAGTGCCACTTCCAGTTTTCCAGTTGTTTTTTTTAAAAAATTTATTGGAGATAAGAGTCTTACAGACTTTCCTGCCCAGGCAGGCTTTGAACTGTGATCCTTAGATCTCAGAGCCTCCTGAGTAGCTAGGATTACTGGCGTGAGCCACCGGCGACCAGCGATATAAATGATCAGAATATGGGCATCAAAGAAAAATTAAAAGATGAGAACAGGGAAAAATGTATTAAAAAGTTATCAAGGAGTTCGGAGGAAGATGGCGGAGGAGAAGCTGGGGGGTAAACAAGCTCTCACACAGAAAGCAGTTTTAGTGTTCCAGTGAACAGTCCTAGGCTACACAATCTCACCAAGTGTGCCATCACAGTACAGAGAGTTTGGCCAGAGAGGGAAAATCCAGGCAAGGAGACAGATCTGAGCACTTGCCAGTAGCTGCGGCAGCAGCGGCGGTGGCAGCCGTAGCCACTCTACCTACAGAGAGAGACCGGGTCAAAGGTGCCAGACGTGGTGAGTGCACAGATTCTACTCAACACCAGCAAGAACTGACGAGGAACAGATATCTTCACCCTGCAGATCGCAAACCAGAGACAGCCGAGGACACAAGACTCTGGCATGAGTAGAACACTGACATCCTCACTCCTTCTCAGTGAGCAGAGGAGGGAAGGCTGCCCCTCCCCCACCACAGGAGATTTCCATTTTTGATACTGACAAAGGCCCAGCTAAGCAGCTTGCTCCAACTCAAGCCTTGGAAGAAAACAAGAATCATATTTAGCAGGACACAGGCAACATAAGGAATGGGAGTCCAAGGAAACCATAACCAATCAACCCAGTGATTTGAGAATAAACACTGAACACCAAATTAAGGAAGTAAAGAAGTTCATACAAGATCTAAAACAAAGCTCCAACAAAGAATTTGAAGCCATCAAAGCCAACCAATTAGAAGGAAAAGAAATAAACAATGAAGTAGAAAGTCTTGGCAGTAGGTTAGACCATGCAGAAGATCGAATCTCTGGGATTGAAGACAGCCTAGATATTATAAAGAGCATACAAATATCCAAGACAAATCCAAGAAATATGATAGATCTATTCAACATTTAGAAGACACCATCAGAAGGCCTAATCTGAGGATAATGGGTGTAGAGGAGCACCTAGAGACAGAAGTTAATGATCTAAGAAATTTGTTTAACAGGATCCTAGCAGAGAACTTCCCACACATGCAAAAAGATAGGCCTATTCAGATACAAGAAGCTTTTAGAACCCCAAATAGACCAGACCAGAACAGGACATCCAACCAGCACATTATAATCCGCACAGGATCACTTCAGAGCAAGGAAAAGATCCTTAAAGCTGTCAAGGAGAAAAGATCAATCACCTATAAAGGGAAACCAATTAGAATAACCTCAGATTTCTCAGCAGAGACAAATAAAGCAAGAAGAGCCTGGAATGATGTATGCCACACCCTAAAGACAAACAACTATAAACCAAGAATACTATACTCAGCTAAACTCTCCTTCATAATGGAAGGTCAAATAAAAACCTTCCATAGCAAAGAAAAACTGAAACAACATATCTCCACCAAACCAGCCCTACTTAAAGATGTCCTACGCATAGAAAACCAACAAGACCACGATAAAGGTCAAGAACCCATACCAAAACTGAGAATCCAAGAACCATAGGAAGAACCCAGTTGCTGCAGCCCCCAAGAAGGTGGATAACATGGCAGGAACTACCAAACACCTTTCAGTCCTAATTATAGACATTAATGGCATTAACTCTCCAATTAAGGGACACTGTCTAGTTGGATTAAAAAGCAAGATCCTTCTATCTGCTGCCTTCAGGAGTCACATCTTGCTCATAAAAACAAACACATTTTGAAAGTGAAAAGCTGGAACAAAATCTACCAAGCAAACAGCCTCCATAAACAGGCAGGAGTTGAAATCCTAATATCAGATAAAATAGACCTCAAATTAAAATTAGTGAGAAGAGATAAAGAAGGTCACTACATACTAATTAAGGGATCTCCCCTTCAGGAGGATATTACAATTCTAAATATCTATTTGACAAACAACGGAGCACCCAAATTTATCCAAGAAATACTACTTTCCCTCAAATCCCACGTAGATCCAAAGACATTAATTGTTGGGGACTTTAACACACCGATATCCCCACTAAATAGATAAACTCGGCAAAAAAACTCAACAGAGAAACCGCAGACCTAAACAACTGCATAAATCAACTAGATTTAACAGACATCTACTGAATATTTCACCCAGCAGCATCAGAATACATGGTATTCTCAGGAGCACACAGAACATTTTCAAAAATAGAGTACATTTTAGGTCACAAAGCAAACTTGTCAAAATTCTGAAACATTGAAGTTGTACCTTGCATTCTCTTAGACCACAAGGGAATAAAATTAGAACTCAACACCAAAAGCCACCAAAAAAGGTCCTGTTACAAAATGGAGGCTAAACAACATACTGTTGAATCACAAGTGAGTCATGGAAATTCAAATGTTCATGATATTGAACAAAAATGAACACACAAAGTACCAGCTCCTCTGGGACACAGGAAAGGCAGTACTCAGAGGCAAGTTTATAGTTCTGAGTTCCAACATCAACAAATTGGAGAGATCTGAAACCAACAATTTAATGAGACATTTGAATCTCCTTGAAAAAGAACAGCAAGATGAACCCCAATCCAGTAGACGGAAAGAAATAATTAAAATTAAATTAGAATTAAATGAATTAGAATCCAAAAAAACCATAGAGAGAATCAACAAAACAAAGAGTTGGTTCTTGGAAAAAATTGACAAAATTGACAGACCCTAAGCCAATCTTATCAGAAAGAGAACACACCCAAATAAACACAGAGATGAGAATGGAAACATCACCACAGAAATCACCAAGATTCAGAACATTATAAGGGAATACTTCTCAAAACTTTATGCTAATAAGCTTGAGAACTTGGCAGAAATGGACCTTTTCCTAGCAAATATCGACATGCCAAAACTAAACCAAGTTAAACCATCTTAACAGGTCCATATCAAGCATTGAAATAGAAACAGCAATAAGAGACCTCCCATCCAAGAAAAGCCCAGGATCAGATGAATTTACAACAGAATTCTACAGGGCCTTCAAAGCAGAACTCACACCAATATTCCTCCAACACTTCAATGAAATTGAAAGTGAAAGTTCACTACTGAACTCATTCTATGAAGCCATCATAACCCTCATCCCAAAACTAGGCAGGGACTCCTCAAAAAAAGAGAACTATAGACCCATTTCTTTGATGAACATTGATAAAAAAACTTCTCAACAAAATTTTGGCCAACCTACTTCAACAATTCATCCAAAAACCATACACCACAATCAAATAGGATTCATTTCAGGGATGCAAAGCTGGTTCAATATACACAAATCAATTAACATAATTCATCACATCATTAAGAGCAAGGATAAAAACCACATGGTTATCTCAATAGATACAGAAAAACTATTTGACAAGATCCATCATCCTTTATGATGAAGGTTCTGGAAAAATTAGGAATCCAGGGAACATCCCTCAATACAATAAGGGTTGTAAATTACAAACCTACAGCCAGCATTATACTTAATGGTAAAAAACTGAAGCCATTTCCTCTTAACTCAGAAACAAGACAAGGATGTCCACTCTCTCCACTTCTCTTCAATTTAGTATTAGAATGCCTAGCTACAGCAATAAGACAAGATGCAAATATAAAAGGGCTCCAAATAGGGAATGATGAAGTAAAACTCTCCCTCTTTGCAGATGACAAGATCTTATATTTAAAGAATCCCATGGACTCTACTCCCAAATTATTCAAGCTGATTCAAAACTTTGGCAAAGTAGCAGGGTATAAAATTAACCCTCAAAAATCAATGGATTTTCTGTATGCCAACAATGAAAAGAACACAGCTGAAATCAGGAAAGCAACTCCATTCGTAATAGCCCCACAAAAAATAAAATACCCAGGAATTAACCAAAGAAGTAAAGGACCTCTATGATGAAAACTTTAAAAACTTGAAAAAGGAAATCAAAATAAAACTTACAAAGTGGAAAAACCTCCCATGCTCCTGGATTGGAAGGATCAACATCATGAAAATGGCAATACTTCCCAAGGCTATCTACAAATTCAATGTGATACCTATCAACATTCCAAATGCATTCTTCAAGGAAATAGAAGAGGCAATCCAAAAATTCATATGGAACAATAAAAGACCCCAAATAGCAAAAACAACCCTCAACAGAAAGAACAGTACTGGAGGAATATCAATACCAAATTTCAAACTCTACTACAAAGCCACAGTAATTAAAACAGCTTGTTACTTGCAGAAGATCAGACCTCAGGACCAATGGAATAGACTTGAAAACCCAGAAATGAACCTACAGACCTATAGCTATCTAATCTTCGATAAGGGAGCTAAAAAAATAGAATGGAAGAAAGACAGCCTCTTCAGTAGATGGTGCTGGCAAAATTGGTTAACTACTTGTAGAAAACTAAAGCTAGATCCTTATATATCACCCTGCACCAGAATCAATTCCAAATGGATCAAAGACCTCGGAGTCAAATCAGACACTCTGAAAACATTACAGGATGGAATAGGAGAAACCCTAGGTCTTGTTGGCAAAGGCCAAAATTTTCTTAAAAGAGACCCAGAAACACAACAAATCAAAGAAAGGTTGGATAAATGGTATTGCATGGCAAAGGACATAGCTAGTAAGATCAATAGAAAGCCCACAGATTGGGAGATCTTCACTAGCCATACAACGGACAAGGGTCTCATATCTAAAATATACCTGGAACTCAAAAAATTAAATCCCCCAACAACAAATCCTCAAAGAAACAACTGCCCAATAAATAAGTGGGCTAAAGACTTAAGGAGAATCTTCTTTGAAGAGGAAAGAAGGATGTCCAATAGACACATGAAGAAATGCTCAACCTCTCTAGCCATAAAAGAAATGCAAACCAAAACAACATTGAGATACCACCTCACCCCAGTTAGAATGGCTATAATCAAGAACTCTAATAACAACAGAAGCTGGAGGGGATGTGGACAGAAGGGAACTTTACTGCATTGTTGGTGGGAGTGTAAACTTGTTCAACCACTTTGGAAAGCAGTATGGAGGTTCCTCAAAAGACTCCACATAGAGCTCCTTATGACCCAGCAATCCCACTTTTGGGCATTTATCCACATGATCACAAACAAGACCATCCTAAAGCTACCAGCACAACTATGTTTATTGCAGCATTATTTACCATAGCTAAGATATGGAACCAACCCAGATGCCCCTCAGTAGATGAATGGATCAAGAAAATGTGGTATCTATACACAATGGAATTCTATGCCTCCATCAGAAAGAATGACATTGCCCCATTTGTTAGGAAATGGAAAGGCTTGGAAAAAATTATATTAAGTGAAGTAAGTCAGGCCCAAAGAAAGATAGGTCCCATGATTTCCCTTATTTGTAATTCCTAGTATATTTCTGAGACAAGCAGAAACGGTCAAGTTGAGGTTAGGCAAAATGAACCCCAAGATAAGGACTTAAATAGTTTTTCTTTCTTGCTATTGTTTCTACCATATTTATAAGATATTTCTTTGCTGCTTTGTATGTCCCTCCCCCACCCCTGTTTTCACTGTATTTGATGTTGGTATAATTTGTGGAGGGGAAGGGAAAAACAAATTGTTTAAATAGTGATACAGGTGGACCATTGCAACAATGAGATGTTCAAGACGTTATGTTAAAAATGAACTTTACAACTTTGGTGCGTGGGAGGGGTTGGCAGGGAGGGTGATGGGAAAGGATGGGAAGGGATGGGAAGGGGAAACAAAGGAAGAGGCAACAATGCTTGATAAGGAATGTACTCATTACCTTGCCCATGTAATTGTAACCCCTCTATACAGTATTTTCACAATAAAAAAAAAAAATAGCGTACTAGCCTTGAGCCTAAAAAAGCTCTGTAACAGTATCCAGGCCCTGAGTTCAAAATCTATAATTAAAATTAAATAAATAATAAATAAATAAGTACATCTGTGAGACTTTTTTTTTAATCTCACCATTAACCATCAAAAAGTCAAAAGTGGAACTGTTGCTCAAGTAGTAGAGCACTAACCTTGAGAATAAAACTCAGGGACAGCACCCAGGCCCTGAGTTCAAGCCCCAAGACCAGTACAAAAAAATAAATAAAATTATTAAAAATAAAGAAAAGGCGGATACTCAATAAATACTTTAAAAAATGTTATCAAGCTAGGAAACAAGGAAGATTTAAGAAAGTAACTGATTGGGGTTAATGGTAAAGAGCAAGTTTTAGGTTCTGGAAAACCTAAGGTCACAGAATTGGCAGAATGAGGAAAAGGCCATTCAAAGTTCTTAGGAATTTAAAAGACTGGAGTAAAAAGTAGAATCCTTTTACGATTTTGGTTGCTGAAAATACACTTGAGTGTGACATCCCTCTGGGTCAAACTACAGGGTCACAACTTCAATAGGGTTTCATGCCTTTTTATACATAATGAAACCACATATGTTTTAAGATGTTATTCTAATGTACTGAGAAAAAAATGATAGCACCAGTACCAATATTCTTATCATTTTACTCTGCTTTAGCATAAGAAATGCTCATTGGCAACCCAATGATTAAAACTAAAACTTTATACAGTCCTATTTGCCAACATTTTAGGAGCTTTTTCTTAAGGAATTAAGTTCGGAGTTTGACCATTGAAATTCTTATTTTCAAAGATGAAATCCACAGACCAATTGCACTTCATTTCCTTTCTTATGCTTAATTATATATAATGACTTTCCTTAGGCTCTGAAAGAGAAAAATCTCACAAACACAGCAAAAATCTCCAGAAAAATGTCCCTTCCTTTTCCAGACCCTGGAATTCCCTAGATAGTCTATGAACAGTGACTAATTTAATTAAGCCTGAGGCATCTAAAAATAGAAATTCTTAAAGCAATTTGAAATGTGTTGATAGCATTTGAGGCTTGCTCAAATTATGGACATTCCTACAGAAGGTACAAAGAGTCTGTATTTAATTTGTTATAAACACAATTCTGTCTTGCTCCTTTCTCAAATGTCTACAAATATTGAGAGCACTTGGCTTATCAGGAGCAGAATGATGTGGGTGATCTGCTACATTACTGATACTGCTTCAATACACTGCAAGGGTTCTGGTATCACTTGTAATTGGATGTCATTTTCTGTTGTATTGAACTGCAAACTCTCAGATGAGATCTTTTCAGCTCTGAATATAACAATGCTGTTGGTTTAATGAGCAACAAATCTTTTTTATTTTAATTCCATTAAGATGAAAACCTAAGTTTCTAGTGCAATGAATTGTTTCTACCAGAAGCACAATCTTGTGCAATTAAGTTGGAAGTGTATAAATCTCAGCACCATAAGCTGTGGACAATAACCAAGATTGTATTACCTCTATAAACCCATTCTTATCTTAGCTGCATAAGCTACTTTTACAAATTAAAATAAGTATGATGGAGAATATTGTTTGTTAATAAATTGTCATAATAAATGAAGTATTTTGTCATTTAGCTAACAGAGAATCTAAAAGGGTATAAAAATTACTACAATTTATGTCTTCTTTTTCTGAAAAAGCAATTTTGTCTTAAACCCAAAACAGATACTGTCATGTGAGCTGACTTGCACAGCCTCTGCTCTAAGTTTTACCAGTTTAAACAAGACAAGATTTCACAGATGTCTAGAAATGTTGGGGAACTTTTCTCATTGAGTTTGTTTTCACAGCTGGGAACTGTAAAACAGCATAAGCACTGCTGAACATTATACCCAGAACTGTCTCTTACTACCCCACCCCAAATCTCAACAGCGCCAGAGCAGGGAAACCACTTAAATCAGTGATTGTGGATCAAAATGAGACTTGGGATTGTAGACTCCAGCTAAAAACAAAACAAATGCAATTATTTGCTACTGGTTACCATTTCAGAAATACAGGGTTTACTAAACACTACAAAAATCCAGAAAACAGCTGGGATTGTAGTTTAGTGTAGAGTGCTTGCCTAGCATGAATGAGCTCTGGGTTCGATTCCTCAGTACCACATAAACAAAACAAAACAAAAAAAATCTAGAAAAAAATCTCTTGACATAAATTTTTCTTACCAAAGCAGGCAATGTTGCCATCCAGTCCTATGTATTTTAGATCATACTTGGCAGCTTCATTTTCAATGGGCTCATTCTCAGATTTGTCGTCCATAGCAAATATGTCCTTTTGTCGGAATTCAGCATTATCATCAAAGTTTATCTTTGCATCAAAACAGACAACTAAATAAAGAAACAAGCAACATGTCTGAATATTTCTCAAGGATCTATAAATTAAGTACTATAAGTAGGAAGGTATAGAAGAACACAAGTAAGCCAGATACCATAATTCTTTCTCAAGCTACAGACAAAAGAAGCTGTTATGATTTTCTTGTCCCTCAACATTTAAGACTATAGACACAAATATGACAAAGACTTGATCTTCTTACATTTTAGTAATGAGTAAAGTAATTTATGTTTGCTGGTCTATGGCCAATACAATAACAGAAGTTACTATCACCTGTTAAAAATCAGATTGGAAAAATACATCTCTAATTCATCATTTTTTGTATATTTTGTATTTTCATTATTTGCTGATTATCACCTTTCCATATTATATAAAATAATATATTATCATTTTGGTCTTCCTTTGTCTTTCTGACATTGCAAAATAACATTTTTATTTTAATTGATATTTAAATAACTCAAACTTTTATTTAGTTAACCTTAAATAAAAATTAAGTATAACTAAAGTATATAACATAATGCTTTTATATACAAATATAATTTGAAGTAATTATTATAGGGAATGAATTACCTAATTTGCACCCTCATAGTTTGAGTAAAAGAACTTGAAATCTAGGTTTTCAGCAATGTTCAAAATATATTACTACCTGTGTGATATTGATAAAAAAAAAACCTAATTCATTTTAGGGCATTTTTTTTAAATTTGAGAAATTGATGAAAACAATCACTAGTATATTGAATTACTTGCATTGCAGGCTGCTAAAACTACACCCATGTCCTCAATTTGTGCAAAGCAAACTTAGGACTTCTCAGATTCAAGTTCTAACACACTAAGAAACCAAGATTGGTCTGTTACAATGTCAGGGAGCACAGTACCCGTAACACAATAAATATCCTCTGCAGCAGGCAGAACTCTGAACATCTTACTGGAAGAGCACATGGCACAGAAAAACTCATCTGGTGACAGGGATAGACCATATATTTACAGATAACTTCTATAAGACAATCAGGCAGGGGGAAGGGCAGCGTGTTTAGAATCCGGGTTCTAATGCTTTTTTATCTGCTTTAGAGTAGAAACTTGTCATCTGAGATACCATGTCACCATAACCTTTTATTACTTAGGATACTGACAGCCAGGAATCTTAAACTAAGCATTTACAGATGCTACCACTTCTCTTCAACTGTCACAGACTGTAGGTTGAACCTGGATACAAATCTGTTTGGAACTGGCATATTAACATCTAGAATTCTAGATATAATATAAATCCAGACCACAAATTATTTAAAGGAAAGCTAATAATAGTGTATCTTACATGGAAGTTAGTGTCTGTATAAATCCTTAATTTGCCACAAAATGCCCACTCGCCCCCACACAGAGAATTCATGGAGTGGATGAGTAATTACTTCCCAGAACACAGAAATCATAATGATGGAATCCTACAATTACCAAAGGAATTGGCAATGTACTATGCTTGCTACAATGGCATTTTCTCAGCAGTTAATGACCAGCATAGTAATCAATAGAAAAGCTACTTCATTCTTGGCTTTCTAGTGGGTTTATAAATACATTCTAATTAATTTATTAGTAATTTTAGCTCCTCCATAATTCACTGGCAAGACTACTTCTAACTGACACCTTCAAAATGAATGGGCAAAGGCTATCAAATTGACTTTCTAAGTAAAGAGTTTTGAATAAAAGAATTCTTGGTCAAGATCGATAAGCCAGTAAATCAAAATAGTTCCAAGCTAATCTTTGCCCCTTATAAATACTATGGTTATAAGCTGCTAGAGAGAAAGGATAATTAATGGATATGTATGCAAAGTTCAGAAGGCAGACCCAACCAAATGTCTGCAAAACCAATTTTTCAAAAGATATTTTCCAGTGATATGACACAAATGCCAAGTTTAGAAATGAGCTCACTATTGGGTGAACACCAGAAACAACCCCAGAGCTAACCCAGAACTTGAAGTGGGGCTTTTGTATGAAAGGAGGGTGTCTCCAATGTTCCCTTATCTTGTGTATCTTCTTTGTAGGAAAAAACTAAACAGATAAGTCGATATATATGTAAATACAAGATCTTTGGTAAAATAAAGATATTACAGAAATATGAAGATAACTAAGCAGATTAGGAGTTAAGAAAGGGGGTTCAGAGCTGGGTATTGAAGTACATGAGTATAATACTAACACACATAGGAGACTGAAGCAGGTAGCTCTCAGGATGGAGGCCAGTAAATAATTAAAAATACTGAATAGCTACCCTGAAGTTCTAAATCTATTTTTTTTTTGGGGGGGGGAGGAATTAGAGACTCTCTTAGATACATAGTTACATGTTTTTAATGATTTTAATCAATGATATACAACTTAAAACAAAATAATCCATTTTGGTCTTTATCCCCAATTCTTGGCACAAAGATTCTTAAAGTTGTAATTTTTTAAACAACAGGGTAACTAAGTGGATGTTTCAATTAATATTTGAATTTTGATTCTGTATCCAACACTGAGCTCTTAATCCCTTGAAAGGCCCTGGGAGGTATTTATATCCTCTAAAATACCCTTTGTAAGAAACTGGTAGTAAGTATCAAGTAACAGAACTTGATGAGAGAGGACTTGTGAGAACCCCAATTTATAGCTGGTTAGCCAGGAGAACTAGACTCAGGCTTATGATTAGCATGAGAAGTGGGGAAAAAATCTTACAAGACCAAACCTTAATGTATGAGATCTGATGCAAATATAGGCAACATAGGAACTTAATTGACAAGACATTGCTGGTGTCAGAGAAACATTGTAGGAAAATCTCACACAATGAGTTCCAGCGGTATTCAGATTGGTGATGGCATAGGAGGAGAAAACAGTTTATTCCTTAATATTATACACAAGCTAAGCACAAAAAGTACTCTTTGCTTTACTAGCTCAGTAAATGTCACTTCATTGTCTTTGCTTGAACTTGAACACTCAGCATAGACTCTGGTGTCAAAAAAACCTAAAGCATAAATTACTAGGTACTTCTTGGGCACAAAGCCTTTGGCATATAACTTTTGCCCAGTGGCCTTGTATATAAAATGGGGCTCAGAGAGATTAGTACTGCATGGTGGTGTTTTAAGAGACTATATGCCAAACACTTATCTTCTCAGAAAGCAGACATTCAAGAGGGAGCACTACTATCAACACTAATGTCCTTAGCCACATTGATTTTCACACTTACAGCCCCTTCTACGGAGTTGTCTTCTCATCCTATCACTAAAACTTACCTATCATTTTCCATTCCCATAATAATCCCAGATGTCTTTTAGAGTCAATATAAATCAATGACTACTGGTGTTTAAGTATATATAGGGTATCTACAGTATTCAATAAAAGCTATCTTCTGAACACATAAAAATTGTCCCAAAGGAAGAATTTTAATGAGTGGCAGTTTTAGCATCATAACTGACAGAGACTTTTGACTATCACAGGAAGGTAAAAGAGGACTTTGATGACTCTAAAATCATATTATACCTTTGTATAAGGCTACAATAGCTAAAGATCAGTATTTTTTTAAAGCACCTCATGAGGATTGGAGCCAAAGGTCGCAAGGTATGTATCTCAGGTCAACTCTTGGATTGCTTCTGAATCTAACAAAATAGCTACATTCTTATCATCCTCTGCTGTCTTCCAAGACAACAACAGAGTGAATAACTGCAGTAGAGAGAGACTATTAGGCAAACAACTTCAAAATATTTTCTATCTGGCATTTTACAGACAATATTTGCAAAGCCCTACTAAGCCACATTTCTCACCAAATCTAAATCCTACTGTAGTCAACTGAAACAGGACATGACCACAGGTGGTATATTTTTGACTTTTTTTTTTTTGGCCGTCGTGGGGCCTGAATTCTGGGCCTGGGCACTGTCCCTCAGTTCTTCAGCTCAAGGTTAGTGCTCTACACTTGAGCCACAGTGTCACTTCTGACTTTTTCTGCTTATGTGGTGCTGAGGAAGTGAACCCAGGGCCTCATGCATGCAAGGCAAGCGCTCTACCACTGAGCCACCTTTCCAGCCCCAAGGTGGTATATTTTTTTATGGTGCAGAAGTGGAGAATAAATATAGCAAGCAAAATAAAAGCTACACAACAGAGTAAATATATCACTGAATACTGACTGAATCTTGCATTTTCCCCCCTATAACACACTTCCAAATGCACTTGAAGAACTAATCTGTTAAAGATGGACTGATGTCTATGTCAACAACAGGGCAATAAAAGTAGCTTTCTTGTTCAAAAAGACAGCAAAAACTATGATAAAATGTACTTTTGGAGATGCAGTCTAGATCACGCATTAATATTTTCAATGTCAAATTAATGAAACCTCAATTTTACAGAAAATTCATCTTGAACAAAGGCCATCCTGTGTACAAAGTGGGAAGAAAAAAACATACCTATTAATATTTATAAAACAATTTTCACCATCAAAAACACATTGTTACACGCTTGATAGGTTATACAAATGAATTTTCCTTCTGAACAAATATCAAAGAAACCTGTGGTACTTATATTCATAGGGTGTTTTTGTTACTTTGTTTAGTGGTGTGAGATTTGGCAACCTGCTAATTCAACCACCTTGATGGAGACCATGAATGGCAGTTAGAGGCCTCTGACCCCAGTTTCAACAGAAGAATGTACCACGGAGTTAAACAAAAGAAAAATACATTTCAGAGGGAGACTCATACATAAAAGAAACATAAAAACAGCAGGAAGTAATACTGTCATAATTAGTTTGGAAAATAATCTGTCTTCAAGCAATGTGCTATGTTTGATTTGTGATAAATAACTATAATGTGCTATTGAAATGTGCTTTGCCAAGATGGCCTTTAAAATGCTGATACTTAAAAATTAGCTGCACTTTCCATTAAATATTGATGTTTCAAGAGCTGTACACTTTTTAGAACTTTGAGTTGATGTGAAAAGAGAAAACAGACATGGGGCAGGGAGTGTGCGGGGAAGTAGGGAACTGAAAATGTTCTTGAAAATAGTCTCGTGTATAAGGAGAGGAACAGAGGAACACCCACCAACAACATGGGCACTTGCTAGCATGAAGCAACAAGATGGTTATTTATGGAAATCAATCAAAAGAAAGGAAAGAATTTGATATGCCAGATAACTTTGGTTACCAAGCCTTAATTTTCGGAATCTTAGCCCCACACTCCTTAAGTTCAATGGATGTATTCGTCTGCCATAAATGAAGGTTTGTCAGCAAGAACCCTTAATCTCCGGACTACATATACATTGAATGGTATCATTCTCTCAGCAAAACAGCACGTTTAGCAACCTCTCTGGCCTCTACTTAGGAGGAATCAACGCACCATTCTCAGGTTATGGTAACTATAAGCATGCCCAGATACTGCCAAATGTCCCCTGAGGTACAAAATGTCTTTAACATCTAAGTACCACTTGCTTTAAACAGACCTATGAAAGAAGCCTGCATGCAGTCAGAGCTAGCTGAAAATAGGAAAAAAATAAAATGACCTAAAAATCCCCGTGGCTTACAAAATAAACATATGAATAAAGCAGGTAGGTAAGTAAATAAACATTGTTCTTAGTTGGCCACAGATTTTATGAATAAATTTTGGATGGGAGGTGAATAAGCAATAAAAATACAATTTCCTGTTGATTATTTAAGAGGCAGTTTACCACTTTTCAGGAAAAGCTGGATCATTCAGGTAGACATGTGTTTGTGCAGTGTCCCTTTTGCCAATGGAAAATGGGCATTTCTTCAATATTATAGAATCCTTGTTCAGTGAATGGCCTAGACTAGATATGTGACCTAAGCAGGGCTTAGAACCCCTTGAGGGGTTTCTATACTTGCTAGTGAAAAGGGACGAACTCTGGTGGCCATCTTTGCCAGCAACTGCAGAGTCTGTCTGAGGAAGAACAATCCAGATGAAAGCAGGGCTGAACCTCCTTTTAGTTTAGTGAATGGATCTGGGCTTCACAGCTGAATACTGAGAGAATAGAGCAGAGAAATGGGAGAATTCTTTCATTCTTTTCAGGCCTTAAGCTAGACCATAACTTAGACTTTCTCTTGCACAAGTAAAATAACCCCCCTCCCACTTTTAAACAAAAACGAAGCCAAGGTTAGGATTCTGTAGGTCACTAGCAACCTTTATAGCTGAGAGTCACTAAAATACACCAAGTTAATAGGGTCAAATTACATTCTTTGAATCAAATAGTCAATCATATTGGAAAAAGAACTTCTTAGACTATAGTTCTTTCTCTGTGTCAAATGCTCCCATAGTGACTCTGACTTAAAAATAGTATCAAGGCCATTGCTCTTCTTTCACCTGAGCATTATGGAAACGTAAAATAAACTGTTTTTTTTTAACCTTCCTCATTGAAGTAATGAAAGATTGAGAACAATTCTACAGAGAGATGGTATAATGAGTATCTTTAAAGCCAAAATATTTGGTGTGATGTAGAAATTTAACACTAAAATTGTAAGAATACTTATTCAATCGGGGTTCTGTTGTGAAAGTGTTAATGTAAAGTGTCTGTTATTACTGATCTAACCAGAAATACATGTTCAAATTATAAACATTAAGATAATCAATATTGCTAAGATATAAATGACTGCTTTTATAGTTTCCAAATAAAGGACTGCTTTAGGGGATGGTGACAATGATGAAGATCAATTTGTACATGTGGTCATTAATCACTATTTCCTAATTGGGTTTAATTTGACTACTGCTCATTAGAGTTATAAACTAACACTCTCATTTAATTGTGATTATAATTCAATAGCCAAACTTTTATGGTACAATGAGCAAATTAATAGCTAAAGATAATTTTGCTCTTAAAATATCATGTAAGACTTTTGCTTTAATGAACTGTATTTACAGAATGTGTTCTTGTGATGATTCCTTCAAAATAACTCAATTTTTTCCTCTCTTCGTAACTAAAAAAACAAATTCAGGCTTCACAAGGATTGTAAACACTCTCTAAGGAAAGGTTCGTGCACCCGATTCTTGCTGCCAGACAAGGGCTTGTGGTTATTTCCTAAAGAGTTGGATAAAAATAGTCTTAAGCACGATTGTTATCCCACTCAGTAGCTGGTTTTCTTCTTTTAAAAAGACAAAAAATAAAAGATGAAATAACCAGACAGCTTGTGCGTACTAGTTTGAAACTTCATATAATATATATGACCTTTAAAAACTTTTATACTGAATTTTTTCATTTTCAGGTTACATTATTGACCACTAAATGTAGCATGAATTTTGACTGGTAGACTAAACTATTTCTGAGACACTCTGATAAAAGCAAAATAGTAGTTTAAAAGAGTAAGAGTAGAAATGATCCTAGATCAGTCTGCATAAAAGAATCACATACACACTGGACTTAAGAGACATGGGTTCTAATTCCACCTCCCATACTAGTTGCCCTTGGGAAGGAGGAGTGTCAAACTAACTTGCATGTCCTACAAAATAAGAATAATATCTTCTAACTTTGCAGGGTTATAGTCAAGAATTAAAATATCCTGGCTGGGAAGGTAGCTCGGTGGTAGAGCACTTGCCTTGCATGCATGAGGCCCTGGGTTCAATTCCTCAGCACCACATAAGCAAAAAGATGAAAAAAGCTGGAAGTGGCGCTGTGGCTCAAATGGTAGAGCGCTAGTCTTGAGCTGAAGAGCTGAGGGACAGTGCCCAGGCCCAGAGTTCAGGCCCTATGACCAGACCCAAAAATAAAATAAAATAAAATATCCTGGTAAGTATCTGCCCAGTGAGTTATTAAACAGTTTCTACCTCTTCCCTTCCTCTTTATATGAAATGCGGACAAATTTATAGCCATATCAATTAAAAATAATTTTATTGAATAAAGGTATTTTACATATAAATAACCTAGCACACATTCTTTAATATTTTTTATTTTAAGTAGTTGTACAAAGGAGTTACCATTCAACAGAGCAGTTTATGAATACAGTGTCTCTTGATCAATTTCACCCCTTTCAACATTCTAACCCACCCCTCCCACCCTGACTCTTTCCCTCACTTTTTTTAAATTTTAGGTTATGTATTGAATTTCTGCCTCGCACACATTTTTATCTGGTGATTATCTGTGTGAACCGTGTAACACTCTTTCCAATGGCTTTCAAAACACTATCTGTTTCTTAGATACCTGTTGAACTGAGAAGTGGAAACTTCATATTATGAATTTTGTGTCTGACAAGGATGTTTACATATATACCAATTCACTCTATTTTTACACATGTTTTATTTTTAGTTTCTAGTTTTAGTTTAAAAAAATCTGAGGTGTAGGCAGGCTATATCCCCATAACCAGAACATAGCAGATCCAAATTTTGTACCTAGGCTTAGCTTTCTAAAGACAAGATATGTTGGCTTTTCTGGTCTGACTACAGAATTTCTGCTATGGAGAATTATTATACACACACCTTGGCCCCAACTTGATGATTTTCCCTTGCACATGCACCACACACACACAGAAACACATACACACACATAACTTCATTTATCAATTCATTGGCAAATCCCCATTTGTTGACTGTCTATAATATGATAGACTTGGGCTGCATGTGAAATATACTCAAAAAGAAAAAAAACAAGATTTTTGGAACTTATACCTTGGAATCACTATCCTATCCAGACGTTATTCTACTCCTATTCATGTTTCAGCTATGAAATTAATAAGGATGAATGAGTACTAGCTCTATTCAAGACAGTGCAGTGGTGGTGAGTGGTTCTGGAATATAAAACATCTACTTATATTATAAAGTTCTTCATGGACTAGAGAAACCTTCCATATAAAAATATGCACTCCTGCTGGGCACTGGTGTCTCACCCTATAATCAGAGCTACTCAGGAGGCTGAGATCTAAAGATCGCAGTTCAAAGCCAGCCAGGGCAGGAAAGCCTGTGTGACTCTTAGCTCCAATAAACCACTCAAAAAACAGGAAGTGGCACTGTGGCTCAAGTGGTAGAGCGCTGGCCTTGAGCTGAAGAGCTGAGGTACAATGCCCAGGCCCAAAGTTCCAGTTCCACGATCTACCCAAAAACAAAAACAAAAACAAAAACAAACAAAAAAGAAGCACTCTTCCTACTTGAAGAAGCTACCAACCAAATAAGGTGAGAGAGTTCAGCTGTAAATGTGGCTTTACTAAGATGCAGGACACTAAGATGAACATAGGGCAAAAAATAACTTTATATACAAATTTAGGCAAATTAAAAAGTTTTAAAAAGTTCTGATAAACATAGATGTACTAAGTACACACAGGCACAATGGCACCCCCTTCTGCCCAAATCTCTGTATTACAGGCAGCAGAGACATCTGAAAAAAACAAAAGGCTAATGAGGGGGATAGAAAAACTGGAAGTTATCTTCCTTTCAGGTTTGCCATTTGCCTATAAACAAAATGCAAGTGCTGAAATGTGCATCCACATCACAGGAACATTTGAAACTGCAGCAGAAATTAAATTACTGAAAGAAATTAATGCAGAGCTGCCACTACGGTCTATTGTACAATTTAGTTTATAGTTTACATAAATAATTGTAACATATTCATTGTTTTTCTCTCTGATTTTTTTACCTTGTCCTTCTGGAGTTTCACCAAAGGGATTCACTTCCACCTGAGTAGCATCAACTTTCAGGAAGAGATTATACAGCTTCTTAATTTGATCTGCAGCCTAAATGTGATCAAGTGAAACACAATTATGCCAAAGCAGTAAAAGAAAATTTGTGTTGCTCAATTAATGAAAGCTTAAAAATAGCAGATTATGTCTTTATTTTCAGTGAGGTTTTCTGAGGGGAAAAAAGTCTTCCCTTGGTTGAAGCAGAAAATCATAATTATTTTAATTTCCACAGCTATTCATTAGAAGGAATTGCTCAAGTTTCCTCCAGACACCAGAAGAGAACATTATCAAGAAAACAAAATATTTTCAATACAGTTTAAAAACGTGATTAATCTTCTTGTAAATTATCATGTCCCTATTAGTCAAGTTGGAACACAATATAAGCTACAATCATTAATACAACAAGCCCCATTTAGTAAAAGATAAACATGATTTTGAGAGCTTATAATGACTAGACTTTCCTTATTATGCTGGAATAAAAGTTATTATATTCATCAATTGGAGCCCCAAATCTGTGAGACAACAATTACAGAGTATCTAAAAGGAAACGCTGCAAGGCAAGAAGATAAAAGTCTCCCACATAGTATATTTTCAGAATAGCACAGTTCGAGTTGAAAATAGTTTGTCTCAAGGGCATACACTACAAAGGGCAGGAATATCCAAGGTTTGCCTACTCCTTTATCCCTGACTTTGTTCTTTTCAGGATACTTACAGATCATTTCTTCATCTTTCCCAATTCACAGTTATTCACTGCCTGTCACAGCAGGATCATACTGTGTGGACTGGGGCTTGGGATAGCATGTGAACCACAGCTGAATGAAGGATATCAGTCTGACTCTCGGTTCTATTTTATTTTCAAGTCCTCATTACCACCTTCTCTGTTTACTGTGCCAATACTGAGGTATTTGCCATCACATCCATCTGGGCCCTTTCCAATCTTTACTATGACACCAAGGGAGCTAAAATCTACCTCTGAATTTTTAAGGTTGACGCTCAGTTGACTTTCAACTCCTGTTAGCCAACAGAATGCCATGGTTAGGGACTGACAGCAGGAGGAAGAGAAAAGCCCGTCTGTTTTGGGCAGACTCCCTTCTATCTGTACCTTCCACCAAAGGGCGCTCCCAAGTGCCAGCTACTGAATCCCAAAGCCATGTCAAACCACTGCCTCAACTTTTCAGAGCACATGGATAGTAACAATTTCCTGTTGCTTTTATAGCTCTGGGCCTCTTGGTTTAATCTTAAGATTCTCAGATGATGCCATGCCTATGTAATAAACTTTCTACTAGGATCAATACTGAAAGTGGTTCCACTTTTAAATAAAGAAATTCTGTTCTTCACTTAATATAATTTTTTCCAAGTCTTTCCACTTCCTAACAAATGGAGCAATGGCATTCTTTCTGATGGAGACATAGAATTCCATTGTGTATTGATGTTGGTATAATTTGCGGAGCAGAAGGGAAAAAACAAATTGTTTAAATAGGGATACAGGTTGACTCATTGCAACAATGAGATGTACAAGACACTACGTCAAAAAATGAACTTTACAATTTAGGCGGGGGGAGGGGAGGACAGGGGGGAGCAAGGCGGGAGTGGATCAATTGAGACCATTGAGTAAACTCCCATCAAAAAGCCAGATGTTTAACAATTACTTGTTCAGTGCCTTTCTGCTTTATGACAAATTTTCTTTAGATTAAAAAAAGATTAACATTAAATAAAGGAAAATTAAAAGTAGCTAGGAAAAATGGGAGAATTCTCAGACTGAGATTCCTCTTTTGATAGGATGACATTAAGGCAGAAACCATGAATAAATAGTAGTAATACGAGTCTTAACTAGATTTGCATTTCGCAAAAGTAACACATGACCAAAAGATAGATGTTAAAGGAGAAAAATGCTTTCAACTTACATGAAGTATATAAAGTATATAAAGCAAATTTTCTTCACATATAAACAATTCCTTTGAGATAGTTCTTTAACAAAAAAGGCCAACATCTCAACAGGATAATAGGTCAAACTTATATGAAAGACTGTAGTTTTTTTTTTTTGTCGGTCGTGGGGCTTGAACTCTGGGCTTGGGCACTGTCCTTGCGCTCTTCAGCTCAAGGTGAGCACTTTACCGCTTGAGCCACAGGGCCACTTCCAGTTTTCTAGTGGTTTATTGGAGATAAGAGTCTCATGGACTTTGCTGCCTGGGTTGGCTTTGAACCACAATCCTCAGATCTCAGCCTCCTAAGTAGCTAGATCATAGGCGTGAGCCACCAGCGCCCAGCTGTAGATTTTTTTTAAGAGTATAGAATAATGTTCAGACTCATCTAAAGTAAAAGAGATTCTCATTAAAGCTGTATGAAAAAACCTGTATTCACTCACCACACTGGACAAGTTCCAGGTATGACTGGAAAAAGTCTCTCTCACACTTTTGTGTGGGAGGGGAATTTAGGGTTGGCTTGCTTATACCAACAGCAGTTTAACAGCATTTTTTGCTATTTAAAATATTTTTTGGGGGTAACAATGTTCAACAGAAATGTATTCATTACCTTACTTATGTAACTGTAAACTCCTATGTATATCACCCATACAATAAAATATGTTTGCTCTACTCTGAGATTTATCCTACAAATAGTCAAATGTATGATATACCTACAGAGACATACAAGGCAGTATTGTTAAGTAATGTCAAACTTTTGGAAACATCTAAAAGGTTATGTAGTTAAGTGATAATTCAAGTAAATTATAGTATATCGTAAGATAGGATGGTGATAAAAGAATAAGCTACACTCAATGGTCTCAATTGCTCCATCCACCTCAGCCTTATGAGTAGCTAGAATGACAGACATGTGCCTGCATGCTCAACTTACATTTCTGCATGAGGAAGGGATTCCTTAGGTTATCTCTTGAATATAGCATCATGAGAGAGGTACTCTGTCACTACTGACATCATGATACCCACTATATTTACATAGCATCTGCCTGGAGTTCATATTTAATAAATACCTGCTGAATTACTTAGTTAACAATAAGGGGAGACTATCTAATGGAAATAACTTTGATTAAACAAGTATGTAAATCTATTCCAACTACTTCAAAAGTATCTTAGTGAATAACTATGGCAAAATACTCAGAACATAAAATTCACAATGGTTTCTAAGAGCACATGAAATATATTCACGCTACTGTGTAACTTCTCTCCACAGCTTTTGCATTTTTCCACAGAAACACTACATTCAAGGGCAGACTTCTATAGTTAAAATGTCTTATTCCCTCAGAACCTCTTAGAGGAGCTGAATCCCATGGCTGAATACTGATGGCTTTATATACAACAATAACAAAGTTATCATGTAGATAAATCCTTCATCTATAGATGACTATGTGGGTATCATCAAAACTTCTTAAGCCTATATAAACTTAACATGAAGCTTGAATAATCTGCATATTAATGCCATTGCCATTATACTTTGCCCCAACATTTTGAATGGTGTTTGGCTATTTTATTATTGTGTCAAAGATAGACTATAACCATTTTGTAAGCAGGGTGAAGTGTGGTTAGCTCTGTGTGGTAAGTTCTACAAAAGCAAACTCATGTAAGATACTTTACTCCAGAGATCACAACCCAACTGGCAGAATGTGTCCATCTGACTAGTATAATAAGATGGAAATCTGGGGCCTGTGTAACATTGAGAGTTTTTCTACTACTTCCTCACAGTGTTCAAATGTCCCAAACAAACTAAATACAGGTGAAAGGACACACTGATCAACTCACAGCCAGCTGTTAACTACTGTAATCTACTTACTCAGATCCTCCAAACTACATAAACAGAGGATCTTCCTTTCCTACTGCTAATTAATGTTATTTTAAGGTTGCTTGTACAGCAATTTACAATTTAAATCTTTAAAACCAAATATAAATGTATGCAAAACCTTGACAAATTTAAAAGTATCTAAAAAATTCATTTAGCATGTTACAGATTTTCAAGTGCTTTTATTGCATTTTAGAAAATAATAACATTCACATGTTCCTCAAAGCCAGAGATACAAGGTGCTAGGGACATGAGAGTGATCCTATACCAACCTTGCACTGATCCATCACATCAAGTCATATGCCCAAATACTAGAGGCATTTGTGGTTTGAAAAAGTAATAGTATAGTCTCACCTTGCCCTTCACTTAGTCACCATGGTTCCAGCCATGGTTCAAAGCCAACCCCAGTCTGAAAATACAGTATAATATATTACACCCGGATATTCTGATGCAGAGACCACATTTAAATAACTTTTATTATGTTATATTGCCACAATTATTCTTTTGTTAATCTCTTCCTATATATGAATTATAAATGAAATTTTAACACGGATATGTAACTGTAAAACAAAATAAAAGTATACATTGTTCAGTACTAATCTGGGGGTGGGGGAAGGGAATGTAGTTGTAGGATGGGAGGGAAGGGATGGGAGGGGAAAAACAAAGGAGGCAACAATGCTTGATAAGAAATGTACTCAGTACCTTGCTCATGTGATTGTAATCCCTCTGTACAGTATTTTCACAACCAAAAAAAAACATTAAAAAATAATAATAGTAAAAGATCCACAGAGGATCTTGGAATGTATAAGCGGGTCTACTGGCAATAAAAACAACTTGACAGCTTTTGTGTAAGATGAAAGGTCAGTTCAGAGACCACAGACATGAGTCACAGGAAAAGCATTAATCATTTTAAACCACAATCATTTTTCATTGTTCATTCAGGAGGGAACTATTTCCAAAAGCTTAAACTATATCCTCAATGAAATTTAAGTAACTTTGAAAGTAACAACGTATCTCACAATCATCTAAAATACCACTTCATTTTTTGAATGTACTAATTTTATGTGTGTGTTGTGTGTTATATGTGTGTGAACTCTGAGCCTTGCACTCTCATTCAGCTTTTCCACTCAAAGCTGGCTTTCTACTACTTGAGCCATGCCTCCAGTTCAGCTTCTTTTGCTGGTTAAATGGAGATAGAGTCCCATGGACTTGTCTGTACAAGGTAGCTTCAAATAGTGATCCTCAGATCCTCAGCCCCAGGGAGTGACTGAAAATCACTTAAATGATTTTCTCACATGCCTTGTTTGCTCTTTGTACTTTGCCTCCCAGAACATTTCACCAATCCCCAGGTAGCATGAATCAAAGATTGCCATTCCCACATGTGCTGCAAGCGCACTTCTTCAGCTCCTGGGTAACATATCCTTCTTACTATGTAAACACATGGGGGTCCCTAGATAATTTCTACAACTGAGATCAACCTTTCTCCATTTCTCCTCTGTCACTCTCTCACTGCCCTCACTGTATTCTAGCCAGTAGGCTGACCGACCTCAGTGGCCTGTGCGCCTCTAGAGCACAATGGCTCTCATTTTCTATATTCCCCAGGGTCCAGCAAGGTACATAACATCTAGTATACACTCGAAGCAGCTAAGCAAATAAAGGCTTAAAGCCTTTCAAGGTACCAGCGTTGTAAAAGGAAACTAAAATAACTAAAGTAAAAATGTTCACTCCTTTGCTCACACCCATAATCCTAGTTACTCAGGAGATCTGAGGATCATGGTTTAAAGATAGCCCATGTAGAAAAGCTACCTAATGTCCCCTGCGTACCTGGCAAGCTCATCTTTGGCTAATTTGTTTCAAACTAGTCTTTCAGGCACTGGGAAAACACTATCATGCCATTTTGAGAACTATAAATGTTTAATTTTCTCTTTATAATATATATTGGCAGATGTCTTAGGTTGTACTTAATACTATTATTATTTTCTGTACAACTCCGTAGTATTCACCTCTGGAGCTTTAACACCAAGAAGTCAGCAGATTTTGCCCACTTTCAAATTTATTTTTTTGTCATGTAAAGAAATCCCTTCAGAGAGGGAAGGAATGCTAGGAGAAAAACAAAGGAAGGGGTAACAATGCTGGACAAAAAATGTACTTATTACCTTATATAACTGTAACCCCTCTGTACATCTTTACCATAAAATAAAAAATTTTAAATTAAATCTCTCCTACTGCTGCAGAAAATCTGGATGTTTCCTTATTCCTGCACATGACAAATGCTTCTTGGCCATCTATTATATGTGCCAAGCACAGACTACTAGCAACTTCCCAGTGAGCCAAATATACAAAGTAGTATTGTTACAGTGTAGCAAAGATGACTACAAATAATCAGAAGTGAAGATAAGCACAGTAAGGAACTTTATAGGCAAGAGTTAGGCTATTAACACCATGACTTTACAGGACAGTGGATTTCAGAGGCTATCAGTCCTGTACCCAAGGCCCTTTAAATTCAACCAGGACAGTTCACATCAAGAAATTATACAGCATCTTCCTTTCAAGAAATCACTTTCCTAGCATTTCTTTGTTGTCTTAGAAAGCACAGTTGGTTGTTTAATGAATCCTGGCCTTCTTTCTCTCCTGCTAGGGTTTAGTTCTGACTCTGTACCTATGCACCTCTACAAACTTAGCTCGTTTCCTGTGTGTGTGTGTGTGTGTGTGTGTGTGTGTGTGTGTGTGCGCGCGCGCGTGTGTGTGTGTGTGTGTGTGGTGTGTGCGTGTGTGTAATTCCACTTTATTCTTTATTTTTAAACTTTCCTAATGTCATCACACTTCTAGACAGAATAAAAACAACAGGAAAAGGCAAAAGGCAATGATGGGAATAGTATTGGTTAACCAAAGGAAATGATAGTCATATATATATATATATATATATGTATATGTATATATGTGTGTGTGTGTATGGATTTTGTTTGTAGACTCAACTAACCATGGGTGGGAAATAATCTAAATAAACAGTGTATCTGTACTAACACACACAGACCTTTTTTCCTTGTCAATGTTTCATAAACAATAGAGTCTAACATCTATTTACACAGCATTTACATTTTGTGAACTATTATCAGTAATTTGGCCAGGATTTAAAGTGTTTGGGAGGATCCGCATCATTTAAATGAAAATATTCTGCCATTTTATTTGAGTATGGACTAGGTTTGACATCCTTAGGGGTTCTGGAACCAGTCTTCCATAAACATTATTGAGTAACTATACTCTGTAAACAGTATGAGGGTCAGGCCTGAGAATGATCATGCATGCATGCATGCATGCACACACAAAGGAGATTATTAAGATGAACTCTCAAGAGCAGTGGAGGAAAGAAAAGGTAGCCATTAATATCTTCCATTATCTGCGGGATAAAGAAGCTTGCCTCCGTAGATACATCATCACATCACCACCTTGGGTTGAAGCAATGGCAAGGCAGAGCAGGAAACAGCAAGAATATTCACAACCAGTTCATTATCTCAATGACATTAAGGGTAATTTTTTTTCTATCCTTGAAGCCAAGGGACATCATTAATAAACTTGCATATTTTTGGCTGCTCCTATTGAAATATCACCTTTATACCATCAACATACACCTTAAAACATCTACCTGAATGATCAATCATAATTCAAGTAGTGCCCATTATTAATAATATTTGATCTTTATTTGCAGTGCTGATTATTGAATATAAGGCCCTGAATGTGCTAAATGTTCTATTACTGAGCTATATCCCCAGGCCCCAAACTCATTACTCTAAAATACTGCAATAAGTGCTTTCGTGTATCATTCTACTCGATTTCAATATACCATTTAGTCAGTAGCTATTATTTCCACTTTACAGATAATAAAACTGAATTTTAGATGGACTAAATCATGTATGTGCCAGATGACAGCACCATAACGCTATAGGGAAAAAAAGTCACCATATATCATAAAGATATTTGACTGTATGCAACATATTCTCTCTCTCTCTCTCTCTCTCTCTCACATACACACACACACATACACACACACACACACATCTCTATGCCTATGTAGATAAATGTTACAATCATTCTCCTTTGGAACAACAGGATATATTACTCATCAAAAACATCTAGAGGAGAGATTAAAACATAACATCCTGAGTCCTACTAATCACAAATATAATAGGAAATTAAGAAATTCCCAAATGTTTTTTGATGAACAAGTCAGACATACCTGGTTTTTCAAAGGCCCAAGGAAGCCCAGATTTTCTGCCATCCGCTGAGCCTGACTGTCCTTTATCCCTTCAAAAATGTCAATCTGCTCCTAGTAAAAATATATCATATGAACAAAATTCAGACAGTCAAGTGAAGATTTACAACCTCAAGAAGAATGCTCAGTATTTATTTGCAAATGAGTAATTAAAGTGTGGCACCTTTCCAGAGAGCTCTGAGCAGGGATACTGCAGCTGCCTATAGGGTATGTTTTAATTAGCAGACCATCTATGAAACAGCCCTTCTAAAAACTATATAATTCTTCAAGGTGGCATACTGACAAGACGCGCTAATGCCAGTTTTCACTTTTAATTACTATACAGATGGCACTGATGAATATTTAGTCAGTTAATTTTTATGACATCTTTTGGAAGGCTTCCAAAGAAAGGTTTGCCTGCTTAATACTGCTGATAAGTTGAGTTGTTGTATATAGGTTAAATATTATCTTACAATTGAAATATTTTATTGATGATGAAAATTCTTAATAATACCATAGCTCTACAAAGTGTCAGTCTCTCAAAAGCACTGAGTGCTGCTCATGTACATTCTTTTTATGTATTCTTTTAGCAAACAGATTTGTTTTAGAAACTGACTAGGTATTATAGATAAGGTTGTGAGTAAAGTCTCATTTAATCTTCCAGATAACACTGGTGATAATATCTTAAAACCAGTTGTCAAAGAATGACTACTATATCCAGACAAAGATTTAACTACACACACAACACACACACACACACACCCATCAATTTCCAAAGGAAAGAAAAATCATTTCCTAAAAGAAATAATGAACATTTCTAGAAAATTTTGGCCAGTTCTGCGGCTTTAACTCAGGGCCTGGGCACTGTCCCTGAGCTTTTTTTTACTCAAGGCCAGCATTCTACAACTTGAGCCACAGTACCACTTCCAGCTTTTTCTATTTATATGATACTGAAGAATCGAAACCAGGGCTTCATGCATGCTAGGCACTCTACCACTAAGCCACATTCCCAGCCCTAAAATTCTTAATGGGATTTTTGCTATAAGAATCCAGATTAAAAACCACAATTATAGTGTAAAGACTTTTTGTTTTCTTATAAGGGGAGGCTATTAACTAGGGGCATTTCTTACTTTTACAAGGGTAAAATCAT